CAGGGATAATGATCAATCACATGTTTTGATACCGTACAACTTTTTTGATATTCAACAGAATAGCCGTAACTGGACAAAGTTTGTTTGGAAAGTCTCACGCTTACCCTTCTTTTACTTTTGTTTCCTTTAACGGATTTCGATGAACGTTTCAATCCTTTTTGGCGGACTGAATTTCGCGTGACACCGGTGAATTCTTTCGTTGCCTTTAACAGTTTGTGCGGGAAACTGACGCACAGCTCACTAAAATTACCCCCCTCTGCGCATACCCCGCGTTTTACTTCTGCGTTACACAAAATTCATAAAAAAAAAACTTCAAATGGCTTTTAAAATGTGCACCACCTAAATAGGCGTTCAGTTACTTACCCTTCTTTTTGCTCTTTCTTGGTTTATTTGCCTTCCCTTTTTGACCGTTGACTGTTTGTGCGGATGTACCTGGGTATTAAATTCAGAAGTGTCAGAAAGAACAGAACAGAGTAAGTAGACAATAATGCAACATTAAACCTCTAGTGTTAGTGTCTTAGACTAAAAGAAAAAATAAATCAAACCAACAAACTTTGTACACTACTTGAAAAGCGTAACTATCGTAGAGATTAGGTAAAGACCATAGTTGACAGGGCTAGACACTAACGGTAGCCAACTAGCGACAGAATAGTAGAAATTCAGTTTGGCTGGTGGTTTTCGATTTCCACAAACCAGTTTGGCTAGTAAATAAACTGAAATTGTCGTAACATCTAAGACTTCACAAGCCACTTGGCTCGTAAGTTGAAACGTTAGTGTCTAGCCCTGCTTGAAATGTTTTCTATACGTACAACGAAACTAGCGATTCCCCATTGTGGTCTTCTCTGAAGTAAATCAAGAATCTGCAAAAGCTCCCAAAAACTGCAGGTATTTTATTGATAAATACATTTAAATCAGTCACCTCCAATATCATTCTCCCAGTCACTGCTTTTTTTTAAAGCTTGAGGTCTTACAGTTTTAGCGTGTGGTTCTTGACAGGTAACTGCAATTATAAAGATTTGTAATGATTAAGGCAAAAGTACTACTAATTCTCTTAAGAGTAATTAATAAAAAAAAGGCATTTTAGAAAATGCTCTTTGACATGTCTGCCTGTTTAAAAAAATAAATGACAAATTATCTTAGAGCTTTCATTGAACATAGAACATAAAACAAAGCCAATTACTAGTACATCACTTTGAATGCTTTGTCTCTATTGCATTATACGAAAGTGGAAAACATCTCAGCTGAAGATATCTAATATATGCTGTTGATGATCTGTTGACGACTAGAGTTCTAACTAAAATTACAACAATTAGCTTTTTTTAAGGAACCTGGAAGCAATATGTATACAACAAGATCCTTTACAAGGATTTACTCTGATTCAAAGTTGCATAATTATAATATTATGCTGATTTTTATCAATAAGTTACCAGTACCTTTCACTTTATTCACCTTGCTATTCATTCTTTTACTGGGTTGAGTTCTTGGCTTTTTGGCAGGTATTTTCTGGTATGCATCTGAAAAAAAGAGGTCCAGCATAACGAACTGAGGGCAGAAAATTGAATACAAAAACAGGCCATCAAACCAAAAGAATGCCAACATTGTGCCTGTTACTCAAATTTCATAACCCCAACAAACTTCATAATGTATAACAAAATTAATCTGAACAGGCCTGCACATGATAATAATTTGACTGAGTGCTATTACTGAACTGAGTCAGTCAGTATTCTATCCTAAAACTGCAATATTGCTTCTTCATGAACAATCACGCAATGAGTAAAAAAATAATATATCTTCCAGGCTCTTGGTCAGTGTATGGGGAAATGGAGCCTGCCCTCTACTCCCTTTCTTGTCTCAAATGATCAAAAGCCTGGAACAAGCCATAAAAGAATGTATCAAAAATTTAAACCTTTTCCATTCTTCTCCTTTTTATTTGTCTTATTGGAAACTCCAGCTTTCTGATTTTTGGTGGTGGTTTTCTTGGAAACTTGAATAGACAATGTTCACAATGATTCAGTACTTAGAATGCCTCGTGTACAAAAAAAAAAAAAACTTATTACAATGGGTAAAACTCACTGATGGTCTTGTAAGGCTCATTTTATTTGAGAATAATCCATTTCACAGTTGTTAATAAAAGATTGAGTGTGTCACATAAGAGACAAGACACCCAGCAAGGTTCATAAAGTAATTATCAAGAATGTCACCCTCCACCTCATTCTTGTTGTTTGCCAACTAATTATGCAACTGTAAAATGGACCATTCAAAGAACTTTACAATATTGAAAGTTAATTCTGAAACAAAATCTGGAAACTAGCACTATGCATTAACTGGCCACAAATGCATGGCATTAGGTTCAGTAGGTCATCCCAGGTACCATGCACAACTACAGGGTAACTTATATCATTGTACAACTAATGTAAAACTTGCTTTTTTTTGGAGGCTCTTGAGATATCTCAGAGCTCTTTAAGAGCATATCTTTGACATGGGTCTTGCTGAAGAGACAAAGAAGCTAGATTTGAACATGCAGTGACACAAACACACACTTTGCCTTTAACAGCACTTTGTTCCCCTTAGGCAGGAACCTTCAGGCTACATGTCCAAAATAGTCAACTTCACACCCGCAGTTCCTAGGAAATATTTCTGCACTTTAACTCACTCTATCTAAACAAATGATTGAAGCTTTGGAGTGGATTACAATAAAACAACATGTACACTATACATGTAAATGTACACAGCTCTACCTTTTGGTTTGGCTCTAACAGGTTTCCTATCTAAAAATCCAGAGTCCTATTCATCTGGATCACTGTCTGTGTCTGTGTCAGAGCTCCCATCAGATTCGGAATCTGTGTCATCAGTCTCTGAACTTGAGCTCTCTGAACTTGAGCTCTCTGAATCACTGGAGTCCAAACCTACTAAGTACAAAAGAAACTAAACTTTTAACAGACAAACAGTCAATTAATGTCTACCTGTGGTAATTTTGAGTCAGAATGAATTCAGTCTGATTTGATTTGACCTTATGAGACTGCATTTAAGAACAGAAGATAAATCTTTGACTTGGAGGAAGCAGGACACAACAACGGTGAAATGGCTGATAAATGGGACCCATTCACAGCCCTGACCACTGTGTACCCATATGAATGATTGCCAGTCAATATTTCTTTGCCTTGCATTTAAACACTTCAAATTTTAATTTTGTGACATTACTTAAAGAAAAATGATCATGTTATGCATTTACAACCCTGTAAGGCAGGTGCTTTTTCTTACAAGAAATCTTACAAAAATTTGATCAAAATTGGTGTCTCTACATCCATGGGTACAACTAAATAAAGGAAATGTTAGACACTTTGTTGTCATAAGGTCCTACCATACACCTCTAACAGGGATTCAAACTGCTGCTTGTGAAAACTAACATGAAACTCACAAATAACCCCTACAAAAAAAGTGCAAGGCTTTACAACAATGCATATCCTTGTATAATATGTACCTCTCTGTCTTTTTTGACCAGCAGTCTGCCTGTTGTCAGTTTCCATTTCACTATAAGAGCACTTGTTAGTAATTTTTTCTTTAAGTTATGTACACTTTGTTAACTAAAGATATTTTCAAGTTTTTTTCAAATTCTTTCCATTCAGTCTGCTTGCATTAAATTAAGAAACTCAAATAACATCTTATGAAAAAAGAGAAAAAAAGGTGCGCACTATCATCTTGCATTAAATGTAAAAATGGAGACAAACATCCTGTTCCAAGAGCAGCACTTATTCAAGTAAATACAGCAAGTTCTTGTTTTAAAAACTAAACAAAAAACATTAAAATAATCTGTCACTCGTTTCTTAAACCACCACAAATGAATCCAGTTTTTGAGTGGAGAAAATATCCCCCTTCAACTTCATTCTTAGTTTGTGCATTCAAAGGCACTTGCTTTCAATTCCCTCAAGATATCAAACTGCAAATGAGTCATTACAGCAATTGTGAAAGAATTCATTGCATAAGTGATGCACTGGTGATGTGAAACTTATTCAAGGAGGGGAGGTGCTTTTTCAAGTAAATAAGTTAAGTTACATTTTAAAACTTGAGTGAAAAAAACTCTTTTCACTTTTCATACACCACCATTCAAAAATTGAGTTCTATATAAATTCACACCCGAAAAGTATTAATCAAAGATTCTGGTCTTTTCATTGGGAGAAAACATGAAACAGCTGCTATAGAAATTTCACTTAACCTACCCTGAGTATCTCTTTTTATTATATAGATACTGATGAAATACCAGGATTTCTCCTTTTACTAAAAAATCATGTCTTCACCTTGCGCAGTGAAGATACTACTTTTATCTTTCACGTGTGAGGATATTGGTATGGCCATGGTTACCAACATAATTACCCAATTACAATAGAGATTCTTGCTCAGGCACACGGTCGGTTGATTCGAAATTTCATCAGTATCTATATAATAAACAGAACATTACATAACCGCTTGGAGATACGAATTTTATCTTTGAGTGCTGAAAGTATCTCTCACTCATTCGCTGCTCTCACTCGTGAGAGATACTTTCAGCACTCGCAGATAAAATTTGTATCCCTGCGCGGCCATGTAATACCTCTATATCATTATTGTCGTCACTTTGGTTATTATCAAAGTAATGAAAATAGGACTGAGTGGGGTCCAATTCAGTCGGTAATTGTATGAGTGATAACCAACATCAGACAAAATTAGACTACATGAGGTCCCATTACTGTTTAATCAAAACTCTGACAAAATTCAATAAATAAACTAGCCATTGGTTATAAATTTCATACAAAAATACAACAGTTTACTCTGCAAAATGTGCAACCACAACTCACAAATGACACACAGGAATGATGGGTACTTATTAGCGCAAAAATCAGGTTGGTCCTAACCAGTCAGATTCAAGAATATTGTCACAGTTTTTTTTGTCATTATTATTGTTATTATCATTATTGCATTTACTTCGACTGGTGGAATGGGCCAAGATTGTTGAGATATCACAGTCGCCTTGCAGAACTCATTAGGGACCTTAAGAAACCACGACGGTGATGCCAAGGAAGACTTCAATTAAAACATGAATTTCTACTCTTAGTTAGAATTTAAAAAATGGCTGCAGGAGCTTACTGTCTTATACAGCGCCACAGCTCAACTTCAGCATGACATATAAAGTAGCCGTTGAGTTCCAAATGGAAATTAAAATAATTGGTTAGTTGACATTTTCATGTATTTTTCTTAAGTTGTTTGTAAATATTTTTGATGATTAGAGTGAAGTATTGTTATCATAGTGTGTATTCTCTAGTTTTTCTTACATTTTTATTAGATATTTTAAGACATTTCTTTCGACTTTCAAGCATTTTATCATAATTTTTAATTTTTTGTGATTATGGTGAATAAAGGATGATATTGGTTTTTTTTTTAAAAAAAATTTATTATTATTATTGTTATTATTATTATTATTCATGCACATATTTATAAGGAAACAGGAATTTTTTTGTCAGTAGACTATAACATTGTATTTCTAGCTAGAGTGTGCAACTGTGTTTGGGATTAAGAACTTAATCAGTGATTAGAGGTAAAGCTTGTTTTAAATGGGAAAAATAGAAACTCCTCCAGCCAAGAGCATTTCAAAGATCAGTTACCTATGTAATAGCCTCATTTTTCCAGACAAATTATGATCCTGAAGGATCCTAGCTGAGTTAGGGTAGATTACATTAAATCTCACCTTTCCAATTCCTCAAATGGCCAGTACATTGTTAGCTGAATGGGCTGAAATAACAGACTCAAATAATCCCTCAGCTGACAACAGGTTATCTTTAACCCACCGGCGGAACTGCAAATTTGATAATTCACATTATCACAATAGTTAAGCTGCACCGTGAGTTTGAACGCCACCAAAACACTTTTGACGTGAAAAGTGCTTGAAGACAACATCTCTTAGCGTTCGTTGAAAGTGTACGAAAGGGATGTTAGGTTCCAAGCTAGAGTTCGATGTCGCCATAGTAGTTACACAAAATGACGCATCAACCAATGCTAGGAGTAACAACTGATTTATTTCTCATAGTGAATCATATCATATACAGGTTTTTAGATAGGCGTAACTAGAACGAAACGATAATCATTTTAGGTATTTACCACAAAGGAAATTTGCAGGTGTGCAGTAGTGCGTTGTGGTGTATTCTAATCTGGAACAACTGTTAAGTAACATCAGTGTGGGTGCTCGGAATATCTGGGCATGTATTCTAACAGGGGAAAGATTTTTGCATAACCCCACAAATCTGGCGCTGCATCCTTCTCGCTAAAAATCGCTTGTTGGCATATTTACGTTAAAATATTGAACCTCTTATAATATGTTTTTGGTTAATACGTTAGATGAATAAAAAGATCACAATCGAGCGCGCCATTTGAATTGTTTCACTGCGCGGTTTTAGAAGGGATAAGAAGTAACGATTGTACCAAAAAAAGAACGCCAGATTATTACAACAAAAATGTGGTGTGCATAACACTTACCCTTAAGACCTGAGTGTCGAGTAAAGAACCGTAATTTATCGAGGCTACAACGTATTAGAGGAAATATATATTGTAGTTAAAATTCATGGTAGTACTTTGCGCGCCAAAAACAAGTACTCGACTCTCCCTCTCCTCCCTTCAATATTCTAAATCGAAGGCACCGGAAGTTACTGATGGGTCTGGCAAATTATTCGCACCAGGCCCTCGATACCTTTGGCCGGTGTCACAGTGTGTAGGTACTAGGGTATCCTTGTCTTTTGGGTATCCCCGCACCCAAAACACTAGTGAATTGCACTTGAAAACGGATATAGCACGAAAACACTAGTAGTGCTTTGGATACAGGGATACCCAGAACACTAAATGAGAATTAAACAAGAGACTGGGGCATGGTATCCTATTTTACTTGTCGTAGACAAACAGAGATTGTGGTTAGTAAAGAAAGGTGTTTATAGAGGGTCCACAATAGGTTTGGCGGGATGCGGGATTTGGCTATTTTTCGTGGTGATATTCGGGATATGAGCTGAAAACAGAAGCGGGATGCGGGAATTTTAACAACCAGCGGGAGCGGGATTTCCTATTTTTATGGGGATGGGATTCGGGAATCGTAAGGAAAAAATAGCGGGATACGAGAATTTAGTTTTGTGTTGACTAAAAATTCATTAGCGTTGACTGAAAAAAAATGGTTCTTAATTGTGTATACCGCCTTTGTAGTCAAGCTATGAGTGTCAAAGGAAGTGAAGCCGGTCAACTTTTGCCCATTATCACTTTTTTGTGTTCGTCTTTTCCGGTTTTACTATTTTCTCCGTTTTCGTCACTCGGAAAGAGGTATCAAATCACTGAGGTTTGAAGTCAAGATCCTGCACTCATTCCTGTTTTGTTGACGGATTTGACCTTTTCTGCTTTTTCCTGGACGGACCTGGACGATTCTTTGGACTGAGCGTATGCCCGCACCAACTGTATCAAGGTATTCACCACTCTGCATGAACGGAGACCACTGCAGTTCTAGATGCAGTCGGAAAGATATACGAGGCTTTCTCCGTCCACGAGAAGCATGCAAAGTACGAGCTTTGCAGTCTACAAGATGCCTAAAAGGAACGTTGCAATATCTTCGCCGAAACGAGGCCTCGATTCGCGGTGAAATCCAAAGCCTGCCGAGGTCCCTTAATGGACCACAGGGAAATGTGGCTGAGAAGACAATAGAGTCTGTTTCATTGTTGCAGCCTGGCCTTTAGAGACTTTAT